CTGCACATCTGTTGGAGTGCCTGAGTTCATGTGAAACCTAATGCAGTCAAAAACTGCTGTCTGTCTCACTCATGCCTCTGCATCAAGTAGTCCTCTTTGTTCGCGAAATCAATGCTATGTATCTAACTGAATTACTTAACTTTGTTTCTGAATGTTGTCTTCAGCTTTGTTTTCCACACGTGTAGAGGGCACCATCAATCAGACAGTAGAAATTCAGATTATTTGAGAATGCCCGGGGCACGCAAGTGGAAAAAAACGAGCTTATAACAATGTCATCCTTAAAAGCTAGGGTTCTTCTCCAAGAGACTGCATCTAAAAACGTCCCAAACCGACATCATTATTTCTACTGTGCACTGTCATGAGTCACGTAAAATCTCCAGGACATCTGAATGGGTATGTGAAATTTAGGGGATTTGGAAAAGTCAACATTGAACTGAAAAGCTTTATCCATCTCAGCTGTCGCAGAGCTGCTGTTCGGTTGCAGTTAACCAGGATTCTGCTGAGATAATCTGAACCAATCTTTTTCTGAGCTTTAAGAGCGACAGGTGAATGAGGCTGGCTCCGAAGGGGAATGCCAGTCGGCACCAGCCCTGGCTGATGCCCAAGCCAGCCCTGGGAGAAGGCGAGTGTTCCCAGGCCGGGAGGGTAGGGCTGTATAGCAGGAAGGAGCTGTTATTTCCTGTTCGCTCAGCAAGAGTTGTTCAGCTTAAAATGTGAGGCCAGGAGGAGAGAGGTTGGAAAAGCAAAGGTCTGGTTAGGAAGTCTCAAGTGCCTTTACGTTCCCCTTGTTTGCAGACGAATAAGCCAGATATTGCTGAGCGCCGGCACTAGCAATCCAGGCTTGCCCAGGCCGTGGAGAAACGTGCCATAGGAGGTATGGGAAGAGGGCAGCAATTCCTGAGGGATTTGCTGAGGGAACAGAAAAGTCTGAAAAAAGAATTATTTTGCAATCTGGTTGAGAAAAAGAATCGACTCAGATTTAATGTGTTTGTTGGTGGCTGTGGGAAAAGATTGTTATTTCTTACTGTGAGGAGAGTCACTTCTCTTCTTTTAGGGACAGTTGAGAGAGAAGCAAATTATATCCCTTCTCAGGCTTGGAGTCTTTCATAGTTTGCCCTTGTCATGCAAGTGCCCTAGAGAGCTGTATTTGTGCCTTTAGGACTGCCCATCACCAGTCAAGGCCTAAGTGCTATTTCTTAAATGAAAGCAAAAGGCAGTCCTTCTTCAACAGGGCGAATCAGCCATCCCCCTCCCGCTGGTAGCGGAGCTAAACCCATGGGTCCAGCCTGGCTGTTCAGCTCCGGGGAGCAGATGTCTTCGGGCTCTGGCTGAGGGTGCTGGTTTGAAAAGGACCTCCCTGAGAACTGCTCTGCACGAACCCAAAGAGCCCTGGTGCAACCCTGATAAAGCGGCCCAACCCATCCTGTGTAGACTTTTACTGAAAAAGCTTGCAGTAATCACAGGGGCAAGGACAGGAACCCAGGCCTCTCGTCCCACCCGGGCGAGACGCTCCCCGTCTCCTTTTCCCTCCAGCCCGCTCTCCACGCGAGCAGCCCGTGGAAAGGGCGAGAGTTTCCGGGGCAGGAAATCTGCGCCAGGGCAGCCTGAGACGGGAGCGTGCCCCTCGGGCCGCTCGCCGAGGGAGGGGGGCACCAAGTCGCCGTTGCAGCAATGCGTTATCCTCTGTGCTAAGCCCTTCATAAGGACATGGCAATGTAGGGTCAAGTTCAGAGATTGCAGTGGATGGCGGCGGAAAAGGGAGGAACAGGGCGATTCCTTTGGCCTCAGTGACATTTCACTTAGATGTACCAGCTCCAAATCTTATCTGGAGTCTTGAGCGACTTTAGTGTGATTTTCCTCATTTACATTTAAGAGCACCTTCAATTAACAGAAACCCGGCATGCTGAAACATGTGCTTTGGAAGGGGGCAGGGTTGAGCAGGTGAATAATAAGCCAGGTATAGGACTTTGGAGTATGTTACTTCCTATTAAACAGTTTCCAGACGTGCTGTCCCAGTCCACGTATCTCTTCCTTATCAGTGGATTAGATATAAAGAAACCACTCTCACTGTTTTAATCAGGAAGGTGAGGCTGTCATGTCTGATTTTACCCTGCGGTTTGTAAAAAGGCAGTTCCTGGTGTGATGCAGGCTAAATCCTGCTTTGATTTGGTGCCTGTGTAAATTGCTGAACATTGCAGGAAGGTAATAAAGGGTATGCTGTGCACACTGGGAGACAGTCCAGCCCTCTCTCCTGACCACTGCCCTTGGATGAGCCCAAACCCTATTTTGTATGCTACGTTCCTCTTTCATGCTCCTTTCCTTCAATGCTGGTTTATCTTCTGGGCTGCACTAGCGTACTTCTGTCTGCTACTGAGGAGCAACATCAGTAGGCTGCCAAATTCCTCTGTGTGCACAGAGCGAGCAGCTGTCCTCGGTCAGCACGGATAGTCCTAGCCTGGGGAACTGACAGTCTTGGATTTGGGTTCCTAACTCCCTCAGATTCATCTGAAAGAAAAAAATTCCCCCAAAACTTGTAGTCTGTGGAATTGCACAGACTGGTGGCAGCAGGAGGCAAGTGGGAAAGGCTGGGAAAACGAGGTGCCCTCAGCAAAGATGATGCAAGCTTTGGTGGCTGGTGCACTCCCCCTCCTTGGGGCTTCCTTCCTTCTGGATGCTGCTGCCTCCTTCTTTGCTTTTCTGGCTTTGCAGACCGGCCCCCATGCCCTGGGCAGCAGCAGCCAGCAGGGCTTGTGCCTGTTTGCCCCCTTTTGCCTTTGCACAGCCCTGGGACTCATGAAGATGATCCAGACTCCAAAGAAAGCCCGTGAAGCCTGTCCAGCCAGTCTAGAGAAGCTCACATTGCCGCAAGGCAGGGAAGGTGCCCAAAGCCACCGAGTGATCTGGCTGGTCATGGGAAAAATCGTGGAAAGAGAGAGACGCGCAGGCTTCCTCTGGTCTGGGCATCTGCAGCCTCTCTTAGGCCCTACGCTGTGCGTGGCAGGACCTGCCATGCGCCGCGAGACCCAGGCAGTGGTGTGGGCCACATGGAAAAAATATAAATCCCAGTTCGGTCCAGAATGTGAAACTGGCTTCAAGTGAAAACAGACTCAGGGGAGGAAAGAGCTTCTTAGGCTGCAAAGAGACCGCAGCTTCGGGGTTTAGCAGCTGCCGTCAGGCCTCCGTCAGCAGCTCATCCTTGCTCCCTTGCCAGTTTTCTGCTTGCTCAGATCCGATGACGCAGCTCCCCATTTTTATTCGCCTTGTGAGCGCTCGGGGAGGCAGGACGCGGCAGCGCCTGCCAGCCGGAGGATGGGGGGCAGTGACAGGGGGGGCCTCCGGGGCAGGCCCTGCGGGACCTCGCTGATCGCCGGCAGGCTGATCCCTCCGGCTCCTTGCAAACACCCAGCTGCGACTGGTTAGGCTAAGCTGGCTGGTTGTGCGTGGAGCGGCGGCAGAGCACTGACACAAGCTGCTCTGCGGGTGATGGCCGTCGTCAGCGGAGGGGTGGTAACGAAGGGCGGCGGGTTCTGCAGCTTCACGCTGGCCACCTGCTTGCAGCCTGAAAATCAGTGAGGCCAAATCCCAAGCGTTTCTGGGTCATTTCCTGTGAGCTTTTTAGTGTTCCTTTTTTTTTTTTTTTAAAGTGTTTTTCCTTCCTAAGTTTAAAACAGGACTTCGATTGTTTCCCAGGAGGGGAAAACTAGTAAAAGCCAGGAGGATATGCATCTTCAACTTCCCCTTTATATCTAATTATACACCTGGGGAACAAAGTAATTTAGCCTAAAAGAAGCAAATGGAGGGGCAAGTGTGACTCTGAATGCTGCAGCAGGACTAGCAGATGCCATTTTAACTGTGAGCTGTTTTTCAGCGTAGCTGAGTTTATCTCCCTCCTGAGACGTTTCAGGAAGCCGTGCAGAGCGCGAGGGTGCAGCCTGGCTTGCCGTTGTTTGCATTTCTCCTGCTCTCGTATCCAGCTGGAAAACAGGGGAGTAATACTCGCTCCCTGGGACTCACTTCCGTGTTTCTCGTGAATCCAGCATTCCTCAGCCTGAAATTAAACATCTATAAAATCAAAACTGAGGGAATGCAGAGCTCTTGGAAGGAAAGACAGTATTTGGTGCAGCGCATATTTTTCACACTGAGATGAAGCTTGTTTCTCCTGACTCTATAGTATTTAAGTAATTTTGTTAGTATCTACACATAAATAATTTTCTGTGACAATATAAACCTTGAATCTGCAACTCGTTCAGGAAGAATCAGCTAAGACTGGGTTTACTTTCATATAAAACTAATTAAACTTGGAAATAATTTTGCAGTTAAACAATGGTATTTATCCTTCATTTGCATAACGTGCTTTAGGACAGCTGAAAGCCAGAATGCTTTGCAAACTACTTGGAGGGCACCGGTAAATGAACTATGATAGTCGTCCTCCTTCGGCTTAAGTTACTTTTCCCCAGCTGTGACTCCTCTCTGCACTCCTCCTAACTCCTCTGCTGAAGTTTACAGACTCAGACGAGTCCTCAGAATGAGCCCCCTGCGCCAAGTCCTGTGTCTTAGTGTATACTCACCTTAATGACAGTTTATGGCAGTCGCCAGTCCCTATATGTAAGCGTCCCACCCCTGTCTGCTAACGCTGGCAGCGAGGTGGGGCGAACAGCTAGGGGCAAGAATTCCTTGAACAGCAGCAGGAAGATTTGCTAAAGCCTGTCTGTCAAGGTTGTCCGGGTTTGATGTGCGATATACTGTCTCCCCACACATACCATTTTGCTCAGAAATGTCTTGATCAAGGCCAAAACTTTGCTTTGTTGAAGAAAACAATCGCTGATCTTGATTTGAAACTTGAGATGGAGGCAGCTCCCCATGGACTAATAATGCATGACCCTCCTACTTACTCATTTTTGCAGTATTTGTCTTGCTGAATAGCTTCAACTTTGAAGTTTATGGAAGGCTTTGTTGTCAGATTAAAAATCTCTGTAAAGTTGTCTCTCTTCCCTTCACAGATAGCATTTCCAGCTGACTCACCTGAGTCTGACTCACGCTATGCAACTGAGCACTGCTTTTAGGATACACTCCTGAGTACACCGTGAGGTAAAGGTAGGACGTTTGGGAAGCTGCAACAGACGTATGGATGCAGGTGTTGTTGCCCTAGATAGAGCTGCCCTTGCCACAGATAAATGAGTGATCCTCCTACATCTAATCAGTGTTGGCACGTTCAGCATGTCCTGCAGAGGTGGTCAGGGTCGCCCACTGTGGTCTATGTGGATTAAACGTACTGATCATGCCGAGATAAACTTTACGGCACATGCCCTTCAACTCTGATGCAGCTGGGGTGCTTTGGGCTTTCGTGCAAGCGCTGGTAAGTTGTTCAGACTATGCCCAGTGTCGGGGGATCAGAGTGCACCACGTTTACTCTGCCTGCAGCCTCCTGGTGTGGTGTCATGAATAGGATCTGCCAAGCTACTGTGGGCTTCCCTTGCAGTCCCCATATTGGCACCCCCTCAACATTTTGGCACCAGTAATCATGTGGCCATGAAGTAGGTTGAGTCAGCTCACTGTGCAGCTACACAAGTGCTGGTATTGACATGGGAGAGGTGGTGGGAGCCGGCAGGGGCAGGCAGGACTGCTCTTTTCGGCAGCAGCGCACCCTTAGATCAGCGCCAGCTGGCCGTGACACTACACCCTCTGTCACTTGCCTGGGCTTTTAGTGTGTCAGACAGCCCAGGCTCTGACTGTGGCTCTAGCCTGTGCTTTGATGAAGCTGCTGAAAACCTGAGACTGGTGGATGAATTCCTCTGCTTGTGTCTGGATGAAGGAGACATAGCCAGGATACTTGGACAACTAGTAGTTCTGGATGGAGGTGGCCTGCCCACAGGGTGGACTAATCCCTGCGTACCGTTGAGACCACACAGCTGGGCGTACATGGAGAGAGAGAGTGCACCTGCCTTGAGTAACGTGTATGCTCATCTTCTCCCAACTAAAATGACTGACCAATCCTAAGGAAAGGATTGTATTGATCTCTGTACCCTGTAGCATACTGAATAAATAAATCTTGCTGTTACCATGGCTGCCACAGTTTTCCTTTAACTCAGGCAGCGAAGTCGTGGGTCTTAGTGCTCAGTCCCTATTGATTTTCTGTCTCTGCCTTCTGTGATGACCCCAGATCTTTACAGATCAGTGTCTTTAGGCCTTAACTTGACATCGACTGCCTTTGGGGGCTTGGACGTGCCACTGTGCTTGCCATCTCGCTGCCACAGCGATTTATTTTAATCCATGGGTTTCTGTACAGGGGCTCTGGTCTACTCTGTCTTCGTAAACACCTCTCCTCCCTCAAGCTTTTGGAATAATCATTTGGTCTGGAAAGTTTCCCGTTGCTCTCTGTTACATTCAATAAATTCATTTGCTTCAAAAGTCTCTTGCTGATATTAATCATCTGTCATCCGGGGGAGAGGAGAGGACAAAGGCAAGGCAGTAGTAAGTTGCTGGATTTTGGATCAACAGTCTTGTCGGTAAAATCCTAACATACAAATGTGCTAAAAAAGAAACAGGAGGGAACAGGAGCAAGACCTGGCAAAACTTCTGCTTGGGGCTTTGGTTTACTGGCACAGTACCCAGCAGGACGAGAGCTTGTTTTCGCCCCTGTGTGCTACTTCATTTTCTGGCCTGGGATGACATCTGGCTGACGTATTGTTTTCTGCACCACAGGAAAAGTACCCTCTTTATTGATTACTACAGTCCTTAGCATTAAAATGTTGTGCATCAAGCTACCAAATATTATGAGATTGGCTTAAAAATAATGAGATTTAAATACAAATGTGCCTTGAGTTCTTTTTCTTTGCCTTCTGGTTTAGAAACCTTTAAAATATGTGATGAGCATATTTTCCTGCTTTCATCATGATTTTTAGTACTGGAAACTCACTTTAAAAATGAAAAGATAAAAAAAAAAACCCAACAAGACAGAAGGGCTCTCCACCTTCTTATTAAGAAATCCACAGTAAATTATTTAGACTTTCAGGATAATACCAGTTTTCAGAAACTCGCAATAAAAAATAGAATAATTGGCAGTATTCTTGACAAGAAAATGGAGTGGAGAGAGCAGAACAAGAAAAGTGGAGAAACCAGAAGGAATAGAGTAACTCATTACCTTCAAGAGGCTGCTTGAGTCCAAAAAGAAACTGGGGCGGTGGTGGTGTAAAGCCACAGAGTTGCCTCCAGGTTTTGAGTTCTTCCCTGTTGCTGGAGAGATTTCCTCAAGCAGCAGAGAAGAGGTCCTAGATTAGAAAGAATCTGTGGTCTGGAAGCGGACGCCACTGTGTGTTTCACTGGTCTTCTACACCATCAAGGCAATGCATGTCCTTCTGCCTCCACCAAGTTGCATCTAAGCACAAGGAGCGAATCCGTTGTCTTTCACATCCATTTGGATCTCAGCAGCAGTTTTGCATAACAACATATTTCAGTGTAAACTGATATCCTGTTACAAATCTTCCAATTTACCCCTAAACAGAACGGTTTTCAGAAAGACCTATATTTTTACACAACGTGTTAGAAAAGGGAGCTCATTTAGCTCTAGCCCAGCTTAGCACTAGTGCCTAAAGTAGAGGAAGCCTGCAGGCCGCAGGACCGAATTGTAAATGAGCTCGAGAGACATTGCTGAGGACGCGACCGCAAAACCAGCTAGAGCCGGTCCTCAAAGATAACAGCACGCAATGGACAGAGGTAACGGCTAACCTTCGGATAAGAGAAGGCACTATGAAGCAGGAACAGAGCAACCGTCCCAGGATGTAGACGTGAACCAATCAAAAGGAAAGAGACCACCGACTCGGCAAAGACGACTGGAAGAGACTGTCACGGGCAGGTGGGGAAAGAGACTGTAAGGAGTAGAATTACCCCCAAATGTCTTTGTTCAGGGTCCCTCCCCAGAGGCACCCAGCTCAAGCTGTTACTTTGCTGTACCGTCATTTAAATAATTAATTAAATTCACTGTTAGGCATCTGTGAGGCTCCGCTCCTCGGAAACCTACGGTCAAACTGTTTCCATAACAACATGAAACCAAAGAAAGAGTAATACTGACCAACCACCATTATTTAATTTGCCACCTGGGCTGCAGGCACAGGTCTCATAGCCGCATATTAGTTCAACCTGACTCTTCTTGGCTGGGGAATTCTGCAGAAAACACAGCTACGAATGTCAGGGCTGCAGACCAATAATTTCTATTTTCGTCTAGATATGTTTATTACTTATCAAACACAGTGTTAAAGCTAGGGGAAAATTCCCTTCCTTTTTTAACTGTTCCAGGTATGTTGTGCAAGCTTAGATGAAATACATCCTTTCCAACCATTGCAAGAATATAATCCAAAACCCACAAGTTAGCACTATAAATATATTAAAGTTTGACCTCTACGCATGTGTCCAAGGGTTAAAAACACGCTGTAAAAAGATTGGAATGATTTCACTAGAGAACAGAGCCATATACATTATAGCAACAGCTCTGAAATCACATGTCTGCTTGTCCTAATTAATATTTACTTCATTATTGACTCATTTATGAGGCTGACTAAGTATTGGAGCAGATTGTCAAGAGATACTAGTTTGTTAGACCCGACCAGAAAAAGTCATAACCGCAGGAGCGGTTGGAAGCAGGAGGTTGGGTTAGAGACTTCCCTAGGTCTCTGCCAACATGAATGATTTTGCGACGCTGAGGCTCTGGGCCTCTCAGACACACATCTTGGTTTCTGAGATTTTTCCCTGCATTTTCCAGGCTATAAAAATTTATCCCAGCCTCTTTATCCCTCCATGATTCTTACAAAAAGAAAGAGGCCAACATGCGACTTTCACTAGACACTAAAAACAGTCTAGCAGGCTGTGTCTGTGAATTTTTCGTGGACAGTGGGTGAGGATATTATTACTATTATTATTTTTAATAATAATTATTAATATTTTGCTCTTCAGCTTTGGAAGGGCTTGTAAGGGTACTGTAAGCAGCGAAAAGAAGAAGACATGTAAGTGCCTATTCTATTTTGTAAAATGATAACTAGACATAGGGTCTCTGTGTGGTTGAACATTACCACAGTTCAACAGTAATTGCCTGGCAAGCCAGTATATTGTCTGGTGTGGTAATTCCTTTGAGCATGACAGGAAACAGTGACTCCAGTCCTGCAAAAGCAGCAAGCATAGTCATGCAATTGGCTGAAATACATGCAATGCCATATTTTAAAAACTTATTTTGGAGTCCTGTTGTCTAAGGCCTTTGAGAAGACTATCTATCTATCTAGTGCATTTCAGGGAATTCAGTATGAAATGCATGGGAAATACGAGCGTGGTGATATCCTGCTTATCATTTTGGGAACCTCTCCATGAGAAGCCCCTTTGCAACCCTGATCCCCAAGGGATGGGAAGCCTTTTCCTTTGCCCTCAGCTAGCTCCTCACAGCACACTCTTGATCATGGTTAGTGTATTTGTGGCCCCTTGCTTTGATTGCTCTTATTCTAGGTTTAGGGCCTTTATCCCCTCCCAGCCTTCAGCCTGGTAAATCTAATCAGACATTAGTATGCTCAAAGCAAATGCTATCAGGGTAGGGTCTAAATCTGATGTCCTGTTCCTTTAGGGACCATCAGTTTTCCATGTTCTGTCACCTTTGGAGATGCTTGTGAGTCTCCTACTGCATGCCCGTAGCTCATCAGTGCTGTGTTTAGTATCTTCAGAGTCATTATTCCAGCAGCCTCATTAACTGCTATGATTTCAACAGGGAAATTTGGAGGAATGCTGGCTGGTTAAGGTTATCTGGTGGTACAGGAATTCATTTCAAGCTCCCTGCCTTTTCCATTCTTTCTGATGCCTAACATTTCTGCTCTTCCATCCCTCCATCTCATCCCCGTGGCAGTAACACCATGGACAGCCTCATGAACAGGCCTTCTGTCCAGCTTCTGCTGGAGCTCAGGTTGGGTCTGAAAAGCTGTGGGGTTTAGGAAGGGTTTGCTAACACAGCGGTATGGGATTGCTTCCTTCAGAGCTCCTGTTCGGCTCTCCCAGTCCCAGTTCTCTTCTGTGAGGTCTCTCTGTAATTCACATTGGCCCATGGCTCAGCTCAACCCCGGAACTATTTCTATAGCCCTGCTTTCCTGCCCACTTTTCAGGGTGATTTGCACTTGCTGAGTCTTCCTGAGTAGTGGGGCCCAGTGCCCAAATTCACAAGTTCACACTTCATTCTGCTCTGTAGAATTCAGATTTTCGGATATGATTGAGAGATTCTTTGCTGCTAGTCATTCTTGGCTAGTCATCATGGAAGGTATTCCCTGGTCTTTTGGGGTGATGGGGAGTCCTCCTACCAGTCATTTCATATTAACTTGTATGCTCAGTATAGACCATAGCTGTCCTGACTGAGCTGTAAGCATCATGGTTTTTGGGTAAGGGATTCAGTGCATTGGGCAGAACATCTACCTAGGGAAAAATTGAGAGGAGAGGTCTACAGAAGATCACTTGTTGAAAACAAGTCTATATATTCTATAGAGTCGTCTGTATAGGAAATTTAGAATGGGATCTGGAAAACTTTTGATGATCTACCAAGTAGAAGGCCACTAATGATTCTTTAATAAGGTGGGTTACAGTGAACTGGGAGAGAGGCGGTATCTCTCATGGCCATCAGTGAGTGCACCTAAATGCCTGAAATGATGTCATATGCCAAGAGGAAAGAAAATGTCACTGTCGCCCACTTGTGCCCTGAGAAGGCAAATAGAGCGTTGGCAGCCGTACTCACTGGGAAATGCAGAAAACCGTCTCTGGGGAGTGCTGGGCAGCACAGCCCTGGGCTGTGCTCTTTACGTGTTAGGAAAAGTTCTCACTCGTATTTACCGAGATGGGGCTTGTTCTCTGCAGTCTTTAGAAATTCAAATAGAAATGAGTACGTTCCCAAGCCTTTATAGCTGTCCGGTGTACGTGAATACGCTGACAGTTCAGCCACCTGCTTTTTCTTCTTTTTCTGGGAGGCACAGGAGATTATATATGCACTGGTTTTATTATCCTGATCTCTATAAATACAAATGCAAAGCTGCACTTTGAGCAACTTCCGAGTAATCGCCCCTGAAATGGCTGGTCGTTAGATGGCAGCACAGCCCCGCACAGTAGCCGCTGCTCTGCTCTCTGCATCGCTAAGCTACTTTGTGGCTGAAGAATTTGCAAATTCCTTAATGCAACATTAATTAAAAGCTGTAAATGAGGAATTTCCTGTTATAGTGCAGCAGTTAAAACTGAAAACCAGTGGTAGCGCATATTAACCTGGAAGCTTTTCCAGAATTTTGGAGTGTTTTTACTCCTAATCCTTCTGAAGCATTCGGGGAATTCAGCTGTACTGACTAGGGCAGCTCTTTTCTTGGTGACGTGTCTCACAGCTGGTAGTCTGAAAACTCTTCCAGAAAACTCCCTTGTTTTTATGCCCCGCAACTGTCTCAGCTCATTGCCTGAGAATCAGAGTATTTTATGTGCTTTTCTATTGCCATTTGAGCATCCCCACATATATAACAAGCACCTGCTTTAGTCTCAGAATAGTCCAGTGACATTCCTACTGATTTCGCTTAATTAAGGGAGAAAAGCCGAGGCAAAGGGAGAGGAGAGCTAGTTCCTTTCTTGGTGACAGGCTTTGTGTTGTATGTGTTGAAACCAGAGCAAAATTCCTACCTTTCTGTCCTAAAACCCTATGGGAAATCCTGATCGTATGTAATGAGTTATACTACTGATATTCTAGATCATCTTCAGCTGTTAAACTGTGGAAGTATTTTTTAAATATGCGTTAATCACATCAAGAGACGTCATTCTAGGGAATAGGATTTTAATAATCTTTATGTTATTTGTTTCCCTAATAAATAGCCAGGTTATTAATAATAATTATTAATAACTTTTAATAGATAAATCATGTTATTAATAATTATTACAGCAATGTTAGGGTAATATAAAGCTAACTTACACTTGACAAAATCAGGAGTAATAATCAATATTGTTATGCTAATTTAAAACCAGTTTGTGGACGTAAAGTCAGACTTAGCTCCTACATTTTTTTTGAGCATCTTTTAGTCTAGACTGTTTTACAATGCAGCTGAGCTGATATTAAAACTTGGAGGCTGGTCTTGCAACTTTGGTCTCAATACGTGTTTCGTAGTGGCTATTGAAACTATTCTGAAAGGTGAGAAGCTTTTCAGGATCTTTCATGGTAATAGAGGACATACGTCCTCTTGGAAGCTGAGGAGCACTAGGTACCGGCCTATACTTTATTTCTTTGAAATCTGTGCCCTTTGCAGAGGCAGCGCTCCCCTCATCACTTTGTGAAGTGGGAAGGCTACGTAAAGGCACACAGCACTATTATGAAACTACCTGGGAGAAGTGAAAGATATTTCAGTCTGCTTTTCCAAATGCAAAAGGCGTTTCAGAAGTGGTAGTGACGCTACTTCACGTTAGTATGTAGCGACACTAAGCAAGAGTTTCACAAGCTGTTTTTTCAATATATGAACTAGTCAGGATAAATCTGCTTTTTTGTGGTTTTCATTGGGTAGTTCTTACTTCATTTCAAATCCCTGGAGAATCAGCTTTACAGCTGAAACTAATCAAACTTCCTAAATGTGTGAAGGACAGCAGATTAGCGCACTGAAAATGGACAGAAAGCCGCTGCGCCCAACATTACTTCTTTCTATATAATATAGATGGTGTGGGAGGAGGTCGACCTGTTGCTCAGATCAAAACGTGGCAGAACCATGAAGTTTGGAAATTGTTAGACCCCCACCACTGCCATTTCTAGATCAACCCCAGAAACACGTACCGGCACATCAGCATCATGCCGGCAGATCCAGCCCCTATTTGAGAGCGCAGTACCTACCTCCTTTTGGTGCAACTGCTGGGACAATGTGCACCTGGGACAGCCGCAAGGCTTAAGGAATTGTGTCTTCATTGTAATGTCATGAGGGAAATTAGAGGGAATCAGTTTTTGAGCTTTGCTGGGTACTCCAAATTGCTCCTCTGACATTTCTGATCTCTTTAGGAATAACTGAAGTGCATTGCCTATGCAAATGAACAGGACCTCAACATCCTACACACCTGGCAGTTCTTTCTTTAGCCATAATTAACTCCTGGCTAGTTTATTTACAATTTGCATTCTCTAGTTATAAACTAAGTTTTATACAGGACAATGCAATCAGGAACTTTATATTGTCACAGAGATATATACAGTCAGGTACCAGAGGATGGAGATGACTACTTAAGACAGAGGTTCTTAACCTGCATATTTGATGCATGCAGATGAACCCCTGTGCTCATGAAGGGACCGGGTTTTGCCTGGGCTTGGCTTATCTTAGGGGTCTGGGTAGGTGCAGGTATGTAGGAGGGAGCCAAACCTGCGTTTAGGAGGACAACAGTAATTGCAACAACAGCAGCCATTACCACAGATGAGCTGGAGAAAAGCACTGTTACACTTTATTTTAGTATGCTACAAAATTCATTGTTGAACTTTATTAGGTACTTTAATACCAAGCATACTTTAAAGTAACAAAAATTATTGTTGTTATTATTTTTTTACAGAAAATCAGGTATTCCAACAGTTTTCTTTACAGTTTGTTGACATTAAAAAAAATTACACGCAGTTGACACGTTACAATGGAATGGAATGGGAAAGCAGTAACATTTAAAAAAATAAAAACATACTACTCATATTGAATCAACATTTAGTGATGTACGTCCGTTAAGTCTTTGCTTCTGTTTATGTATAAACGGTACCTTTTCACTGAACTATCCTGGCAGGACCGCAAGATCTTGTGATGACACTTTTTTGCAACATTTCTATATATTTAGAAAGGGCTCGACATGACACTGTCACTATAATGCGAAACTCTGTAGTCTGTAGCAAAAAATAACATAGTAGAGAAAAACCCTGCTTTTGCAGCTTTTGTCGCAGCAAAAGTGTCATGACTGCAGTAATCTGGGATACAGGTGAACTGAAGGAGCAAAAGAAGACGGCAATACGGTAACACAGCCAGATAGCAAACCCTTGCCCGGGCTTTTGGGATGGGTGTGTGTCTGTGGTTCAGCACAAGCAGTGAATGAGGATGAGCTTCATTGAGATACCATTTAACAAGGATCTTCTGAAGGCGCCCAGCCTTTAAGGGGGTGCATTTTCCAGCTGACACTGATTGGACATCACAGTTTTAAATACCTGCTTAAAGTGGGACCTTAGTGAGTTTATGGGGTGTCATGTGTAAATTACTTGATTTTTTGCCTTTAGTTCAGTAGCAGGTACTGGGAATTTATTTAAGGTAGTTGATTGATTTGAATGGGATTTTTCATCAGCGCTAACTCTGCTCCTGCAGAAGTCAGGAGCGTCTCCTGCACTCAACTATGAGTGTAGATTTGGATTCGAACAGAGTGTTTTCTAAAAATCCCACCCAGATGCACATATAAACTTTACTGGCAAACATCCACGTTGGAGTTCGGCTTCTAAGATAAGCGGGGCCACACTGGTACCTCGTTAGTTAGGTAAAAGAGCTACCTAATTCCTATACTTATTTATTGGCAGTATGATCAAAGACAATTTTTCATCTGGCTCCCTCCCCTGCAATTCGCTTAGCGTGGGCCGTTCATCACTAAGGTCTATTAAGTCTTTCCCGAGTCCCCGTGTGTCGCGCCCTGTTCTTGCCGTTTGGCGGCGTTGGGGAGCGCGGCTGCCCGGCGGGGCAAGCCAAGGGCATACCCCGGGCACCACGCACCCAGCCGCTGCGCGCCTACTCGTGGCATATATTTGCTAGTCCTGTTACTGTATGAGTTGATTTTAAGGCCGGAAAGGATGATTAGGCCACCTAGCCTGATCGCTGTTAGCACAGGCTAATGTCGCTCAGTGCTTACGCATCACGGAAAAACAATAGAAATGTCCTTACAGCAGGCAGCTGTACGTTATATTTAAGGGGTAAATTACTTTCTCCTATTGAAAAAACGAAACAAAACAGGTGGTTTTATTTTCTCACTTTAAATATAAGCAGTTCTATGTTACTTGGGAAATTATAGTATTATGATATTGAGTCAGATGTATCTTATAGTATATATGCTTCATAGAACTAGAATATAGGTCAGAAATAATTTTTCAGTCTTAAGTTTGTTACAGACATAGATTAATTGGAACACGTATGCAGTAAAAATTGAGAAGCTTTACATTTTTAGTCAACTTATTATACAGTGAAGTAAGTGAAGTGCAGAAATGTAGCAGTAAAAGTTATGCTTTTTCCACTAGGAGATGGAAACATTCAGAGAGTCTATTTATAAATGCTAATTTAAGAGAAATGTCCTATCAGCTTCTTGGCTACTGGGATAGGAATAGTCTGGAATTAACTGCCTCTCTACTGTGAAAGGTTTTAAAGCTTTTTGCTTTTCATCTGAATAAAAAAAATGACATTTACAAACCTCTTCAATGCATATATATTACATATGTTTATCTAGCAACAACTACACCCCTTTTAATTTATTCCCCAAATGTGACTTTTCATGCATGTCTTCTGAATGCTGTATTCAGCAACAGTTTGTAATGAGCTGGTGTGTAATCCATGATTGCATTTCTCTTCTGAAAACCACTTCCGTGTCTGGCTGATCTGTGTTTAGAAGGTAGCGCTTACCAGTCAGGCAGTTTTGCACTCGTCAGCATTCTTCTCTGTCGGAGACCTTTCCCGAGCTTCTTCCCATTTTAATGTTGATGTACAAAAGCTGTTATTCATTTTGTTTTGTGCTCATTCTAGTGAGGATTGGCTTAGTAGGACTGTGCAAAACAGAGAGAAGAGAGAAGCTGGTTTACTGCCAGCACACATAAAGACATTCATACTGTGCTTGGCTCAGGACTAGCATCTGATCAATAGTGTAAATACACTTCATTCTTTGTATTTCCATTTATCATGAGACATGACAACTTTAATCTTCAGATCATTGCAGTGATTTGTAATCTAGAATCCTTAAAGATCAGTTTTCATCAACAAATTGACATGGGAAGTCAAAGTAGTGAGATTGTTTCATTTTAAGTCTGAACAATAGGAAAATAAAGATATAGTGTGAATGGGGCAAGAATCACATTTGTTGGATTAATACCATGCATCAAGTTAAATTCCTGGCGTTCCTGTTTCACGTCACTAATTTCTTTCACTCCCCTGTGCCCCCAAACCACATTGATAAAATAATGCATTGTGATAGATTTCAAAGGAACAGACCCCAGTGATGACGGAGATGTTTTCCATCCAAACTCTTTCTCCAAAACTAACTCCGATCCCTCCAGTTTCATCTATGGTGAACAGAACTGTATGTGCTGGAGAGCAAAAACTAACCGCAGCTACGCTGTGGAGGGTGAGAAGAGCCGTTCCCTGGCTGACCGGACTGCGCTGGAGGGGCAGTGTGGGGAACAGAGGGACATATGGATCCCTTAGGAGGTGCAGTAAAGAAACGGAGGGTGAGTGGATTATCACTGCTTCCAGCTGCCTCCAGCCACTGTCTCCAGCTCCTCTAGGCTTCCCTGAGGACCTCTGGAGGCAACTAGAAACGTGTTACTGGTCAGAGCTCCTACGAGCCTGAAGCCTGAGGGGAAGGAAAACCACCTTCCTTGCAACCCCTTTCTACTAATCCTAGCACGGTGGCCTCAGCGAGAGACTGCTGGAATTCAGAACTCGGGGGAAATTCCAATTTTGGTTAAAAAAAGAAAGAAATCAAATAAAAAGAAAAGGGCCAAGAACAGATTTAATTGTGAAATTACAATACAAGTTAGTGTAAGAAGACTGAACTATTTCATTTTTCCCCCCAAATTACACGGAATAGCCACCTTCTCCCATTACCCCAAGATTTCTCATGCTGCCTTGACTGCTATGGACTACTTGGCCTGTTGCTAACTCATCCACAAACTTCAAGGAGACTTATGCCCCCGAGCAGGTGCCCAGAGTCCTGAGGGCTTTTAGCACACAATGGTAATTCAGGGAGCTGCATGGCTGCCAACCAGGAGGCCTGCTGCTGTGGACCCTGCAAACCTAATTTCCCTGTTAACTTCCAATAAATTGATGTATTTCAAGCAAAGATTGTTTTGGCAGAAAATTTCTGACTCGATATAGCTCACACATGTTCAGCATACATCTTTGGTGCAGATATATTTTACAAAGATGACACTTTTAGGTGATATTGCTGAGACTAGAAACTAGCAAATAATCTATCCAAGAAGCATAAGCTGAGCTTAAGGAGGGCCCTGCTGAAGGTGAATGGGTCTGCTTTGCTTTTGTCAGAAAATGAACACTCAATGTAGTGTTCACTGTGGGAACAACTTTTTAATGAAGGATGTCTATAATGGGGCTGATAATTTCCCGTTGTAAAAGCAAAATCAGCATTTATTGCTCCTTGAGCTTCCTCTCTCCTTTTAAAACATGTAGCAAAAATAAAGAATGAAGAGTGGATAAGAAATGCACATTATTTGTGATAAATAAAACTTATTAAAAATGGCCTGAGTCAGGAGTTTCAGTATATTTTACTGCCATATTAATATCATAATTAATATGGATAAGTAGCATTACTATATAAAAGAAGAGAAAGAAAGAGAGAGTTTTTGAACCTCTAACCTTTTTATTTAAGTGCAGTACTGGGTTTTTTTGAGCCTTTTAGACAATCCATAGTAGTTGAAACAGGAATCTAGAGAAAGCCAAAGTTACACGGTGAGGAGCACGTGCCCTCATGCTCCTGTGAAAAATCTAAGATTGATAACATGGAATGGACCATTTCTTTCAACTATTTTTAATCATACTCCAGTGTACCTGTGCTATTCAAATCCTTAACAGTGTTTTATTGGATATCCAGCAATGAGTGTCTGGATTATAACGTACTAAAACCTTTATTAGTTCTCTTGACAAATATTGCACACAAGTGTCATAAACGTGGAAGAGAAAATTAATAAATGCCACAGTGCCTAGTTGATGCTATGGAAAGAAGAACCTGCAGAAATAAGTCATTCACTTTGAACATCCCTCAGTCTGCTTTGTAGCACATCATACGCTTTTGACTCCTTGAGGTTTCTTTTCTTAGAGCTACTTACAAACCTTTTCTAGTGCTGTTGCCTAGAAATCAGTTGATGAAAGCAGTCTTTGTGAAAGCCATATTGCCCAAACCACCTAGGTGCTATGCTGTTAAATTCTCTATTTAGTCTTGAAAGGCTTCCTCTTTCACTGACATCCTGACAACACAGGTATTGTTCATATTTGACCCGTTCAATTAGGGAAGTCAGCTGGCTGCAGAGCTGGGGTACAGTCACCAATTGAAGTATTTACAGCATTTTAGTGTTTAAGTAAATTTTCAGAGAGCGGCCACCAATATTTCTTTGTTATGAAGGTGAATCATAGGGAGATTTCTAGGTCGCTCCCTGCCAAGGTATAAAACCACATACTGAATTTCAGATAGTCCATTACATGCTTTTATTGTAAAGGCAGTCAGATGTACAGTAAATACATAGAGGAAGGCAGACCTTCCAGGAATGAATTTGCTCTCCAACAGCATTTACGCTTTACCCTATTAATTGTTACCAGCCATATGTATATGCGCTCTTCTTAGCCATTTATTGGACTGGGAGTTTAGAAAATGACGGTTTTCCAAGTGTTACTCTTTTGTCGCTCTCTCCAAGCACATGCCATTACTGTGGTCTACTGAGCTAAAAAGCAACTGGCATTTGTGATCCCACCGAAATCAGTGCTATGCCAAAACCACGTCAGCTCTCAAGAGCCCACGGAGTAGTGGTGAACTCATCTCCACAGACCACAGTATCCCTCTAACCTATAAATGTCTGTTCCCACTTGCCTGCTTGCCATGGGTGTCTTTTTCCTTTGATGCCACGGCATCCTTTGCCCTGGCCTTGCCAGGGCGATCCTTATGCAGTGCCCTGACAGCCACCCTGGGGCAAATATTATACGCTTAATAAACAGCTGGTCATCACCTTAGGTCCTGTCCTAACTCATAAGACCCCTGGTGATCGAACCTGCTGAAACTCCAGCATGTGTTTTTGGAGATGCTGACCACAGATAGTCCTAGTAATAGGTCAAAAGCTAAAGGAGTTGTGCCATCTTGTGCCTGCCCATGCCCACTAACATTTAGACAGAACAAGGAAAGAACAAGGCTCCCCTGTTGAAATGGAAGTACGGATGGCCCAAGATTTCCCAGCTAGACCTCTTTTGCCAGCAGCTCTCTCCCTGGTGCTTGACTGTTCAGCATCTTTTTGACAAAATGTGATAAATGATCTCCTGTCCTCACTAAGGCTAGGTAAGTGACTTTCCTCCTCATCCTGGCAAACTAGCAAGCAGGACTTGGCAATCATATTCGTAGGCTACCACAGCATACCTCCAAGCGCGGAGGTTAAAAGACTGTGTGGGGAGTATACAGCAAACCCTGAGGAGTTGCAAAAACTTTTAAAAAATTTCAAGATTGTGCTTCTGTGATATTTTTGTCTGTACAGCATTAGAGGGGAAGCTCATCTCAGTAGAGTGGTGTGTGAGCTGGGTCTTCTGCTGCAGCACTTCCTTGCAGTAAAATAGAATCAAATCAAATAAACAACAACAAGGTTTTAACAGATTTGGTATTCAAGCTCTGTGAAACCAGAGCACTGAGGAGAATGGTATGGCTTATTTGGTCTGCTGGACTGTATTTGGTGCTGCCTGTTAGTGGCAGCAGCTTAATTCCAGAGGCAGAGGCTGTATGAAATGTTTTCAGAAACGTTCAAGAATTTGCCAAATACTCAATGGAAAGGAGACCCAAGCTAGTCTACACGCAGGAGGCTCAGTCTATGGCCACTAAATGGCCTTTCTAGAATCCGAGAGGATGGTAGGAATTAACCACCGAACACAAAGAATGACGTGTTCATTATACGTCCTTTTCCAAGAAGAAACAGAAAAATGGCTGAAAGATCCAGCCAGAATAATTTTGGCAGGTTACCAGTGTCAGTGGTCTGCATGTAACTGGACAGTGCTCAGCCACAAGCAGTTCCTATATCATTGTTCACAAGAAATAACCCAGTGTGTTGAAAGTGCACCACTGACCTGAAGCTGCACTCCTTGCACACTCAGTGCACTCCCAGTGACTGCCATACTGCTCAGGTCCTACTGTTCCCTGACAGACTCTGTAAGGGGACGTACACCTTTTGTATTTTTTAAATCCAGTTTATTCTTATATCCTTTTTTTCCTTTTTCTGTTGCTCTATGTGAAGACTGATATATGGCAGGAAGGAAAGGTTGTCGGTGCAGAGAAACTGTTTAATCGTGCACAGCGTGCTGTTGAAGAAGAAGAGTGATGCAACAGGGAAACATTATCTTCTGGGGTTTTTATTTGTTTTGTATCTCCAGATAGAATGGGTTTTGGGGGTGTAGTGGCAAAGAAAATTGTGGTTGTTAAGGCAAATTAATTAAAAAAAAATCCATCAGGCAATGAAGTCTGACCACTTTATGCCAAAATATGAAAGGAGAGACCCACTGAGAAATTAAGTCTGGAGCCCAGAGCATGACACTAGAGTATCCCTGATGATGTTCTCAGTTTCTTCACGTTCATATTCTTTTCCAGATGGCAATTTTGAGAAAGGTGGGCTTTCCTTGGGGCAGAGAGCCAACAAAGTGTGGTCTTGGGCATGCATCTCATGTAATGTTGGCCACCTAGAACTCGAGCATCTACTCCCCAACTCCTGGGCAGTCCCTGGAGAGAGGCAGGATCTGCTCAGAGTGACTCATATCATGCCCAGACAGTTGTTCAGGGCTGATGACACCC